GCTCCCAGCGCCGCACTCTCCCGAGTGTGCCATGGGCTCGGCCCTACCCCAGACTTTTTTTTTTTTGTCCTTTTTGAGACCGGCCGCACTGCGCTCAGCCAGTGAACCCTGTGAGCGCAACGGATCCGAACCCGCGTCAGGAGCGCTGCAGCGCTCCCAGCGCCGCACTCTCCCGAGTGTGCCATGGGCTCGGCCCTACCCCAGACTTTTTGGAGTGATCTTTGCCTTCCTGAGCCCTGGTGTTGTAGGCCTGTCTTGATGTTTCCCAGCCCCAAGATGTGGAAGCAGCATCTCCCCAAGGAGCCGTGTTCAGGCCTAACCCAGATCTGGGCACCAGAATGTTGTGCTGGTGATGGGTGGGGGTGCGTCCTTGTTGGGCCACTTTTGTGACAGCTGGAAATAGTATTTCTTTTTAATATCATGAAGTCACATTGGTATTTAAAATTTAACTCTTACTTTCCTGATTTTTATTTTGTTCTTTAAAAAAAAGTTTCAATTAGTTTTCTCTGTGACATGCTAATTTGAGTTTTTATCTCCTTTAATTGTACCTTTTCTTGTTTTTTCTTTCAAATTTCATTTGCAAATAATCCTTAGATGTTTCCTCAGTCACTTATTGATGAAGTGGAAAAGGCTTAGGAGGTGGACCGTCCCTGGTTTATATCCATATACTCTTGGTATTTGCTGTGTGATTCTGGGCAAGTGACTTAAACTGTCTGAACCCCTTTTTCTTGTCTGCACAATGGGGGAGTAATTAGGTTGCAGAGGTCTGAGGATTAAGTGAGATATAAAGTACTGAATGACTAGTGTGCAGACAGCACTTCCTTTAATAGTGTGGTTGAAGATGCGGGTGACTGGGAGGTGGCCGCCTACATGACAGTCAGGCTTCTCTGAGGCTGCTCCTGGGACCTGTACCTGTTCCTGACTCTCCTTGGGTGGGCAGTGATAGGGGCAGTGTAGGATCATAGTTGGGAGGAGGTTGCTTTTTCAGCTGCAGTGAGCTTGGGCCAAGGGAGGGCTGTAACCCTCAGGAGTGTTGGGACTCTTGGTGTAAAGGAAAGTGGATTTGAAGCCAGATAGACCTGGATTTTACTCTTGGAACTGTCTCTGCAGAGCTATAGATGGATTCCTTTATCCTTCTGAGCCTATAAAAGAGTTTGGGTGTAGACTTGCACTTTTAAAAAAAAATAATGCAGAGCTATAGATGGATTCCTTTATCCTTCTGAGCCTATAAAAGAGTTTGGGTGTAGACTTTCACTTTAAAAAAAAAAAAAAAAATCTATACCATATACTGTAAAATAGACATTCACTCTGAAACTGCTGGAGGCCCATAAAATTCACCCATAAGTGAGTGATGCTGTTTCCTTTGTGCTTATTTTTACACTCTGTTTTGTTTCTTTCCCATTGTCTTAAGTAAATTGGATACGTGCAGTTTTGGACTTGATGTGAGTTGTGTTCAGTAATTCGTTATTGTTTAGAAATGGTCTCTCTGCCCCTTCTCCCACCCCAACCTGTCACTCCTCATCACTGTGAACTCAATGCCTTCGGATTAATCATGCTGAGAAAAGCTTATTAATGGCATTTCTACCTCATTTACCTAATTATAGCTTAGACATTTGTACTCTTCTTAATTGCTCATACTAGCTTATTTCCTTTTTTTTTTTTTTTGCAGCTGGCCAGTACATTATTTCCTTCTTTAAAGAAGTAGAGTGATGAAGAGGATCACAACTAACATTTACTGCAAACTCATTTTGTCCCAGACTCCATGCTAAGTGCTCTGCCATACATTAATTAATTAAGGCCTCACCCCCCATCTCTGTGACATGTACTGTAATCATCCCCATTTAGCAGGTGAGACTGCTGTGTCTAACAAGTTCACAGAGATGGTGAATGAAAAACCTGCACCAAACCTCAGGCCATTTGACTCAAAAGCCCATGCTCTTAACTATGAAATTACACTGCCATCCACCCATCCATCAGTCCATAGGTTCATCTGTCCATTTTTTTCATGGGTGATGAGGAATGAATAAAGTCTTAAGGAAACTCATAGTGCTGTAAAGTAAATGTGCCAAGCCTTTGTTTAAGGGGTTTGTGTCCTCATTTAACTTTCATATGATGCTTTGAAGAGTTTGCATTTTCTATTCCTTTATTAAATCTTCATTTCGCAGATTCATATCGGACCTTCCCCCCAGACATATTAGATTGAACTTGTTGAACATGCTGATTTTTGAAGAGTCTGTTAACTGCTGATTTGTTTTATTTATGAGGCCTTGAATTTTTTTTTTTTTTTTTTAAAGAAATACCTTAAGGAACTTTAAACAAATGAAGCCTCGGGACACCAGCCTCAGCTCACCTGTCTGGAGGAATGACATCTGAGAGGGCTGCTCGGTGGTTTGCTGTGGGGCTGTTGAGAGGCACCATTATTGCCAGAGAAAGAGGCACAATAAAAGACCAAAGGCAGAGATGAGACATGAATGGATACCAGGGGCAGTTATGGGAGGAATTAAAATCATTGTCTGCTGACTTTAAATAGTCAGATGTCCTAGAAAGCTTATAATGTATGTCTAAGTTGGGGTCAGGGAGAGGGATTAAAGTAAGTGAGGGAGGCTATGGGCTCTGATCTCTTCATGGACCAGGAAGAATTTGGAGCTGGGTTGGGGATGCCTTGGAGGAAGAAGAGATGCCAGAGGGGCACAGGTCCTCCAGGGTGTAGGTGACAGCCAGGGGACAACATGGTGCCATTCCCTTGTCCCCTGCATATTCTGAACTTTTCTAAAAACGTATTAACAATGTTAACCAAGATTCACCACCACCATCACTCCTCTGCCCCACATGTGGATGGTTTCCTTTGGCTGCTTGTGGTTGGGGCCCCTGCCTTTAACTTCCCTTTCTCCCTTCTGGGACTTGAGGAGGCTCTGCTATTTGATAATGCTAAAGGGGCAGGAACCCCGCAGTTGACAGGGGAACGGGACCTGCTGTCACACTGCAAAGGCTGGGCCAGATGGGCAAGCGGGAGGTTCTGGTTGTAGCAGCCTGGCATGGCTCTGAATGAGGAGAGGGTGCTCCAGAGGTGGAGAGACTGCTGGAACAGAGGCAGGGGAGAGGAGGCCAACTTTGGAGACCTTACAACCCAGCATCACAGGCTTCTCTGCTTCCAGTGATTTAGGAAGGTTGAGTTAGGTTTGTGCAAAATATGGACTCTGCCCAGGATTCTATGTATAGAATGTGTGTCTGTATCATTTTCCTCTTAATTTTCTATTATATATACACAGACAGACATACAGATACTTATACATATGTACACTACACACATATGCGCTGCTCTTGACACCAACGGCAACTTGTAGTACCTGGCCAACAGGTCAGTGAAGTAAGTATTGTCATGTGCTTCATAATGACGTTTCAGTCAGCGACGGACCACATATACGATGGTGGTCCCATAAGATTATAATCGCTGTACTAGGTGTGTAGTAGGCTGTAGCATCTAGGTTTGTGTAAGTGTACTCTATGATGTTCACACAATGACAAAATAGCCTGTTGCGTTTCTCAGGACAGATACCCATCATTAAGTGACACGTGACTGGTGTTTTGGTTTAGGGCAGGGTTCTCAACTGGGCGATTTTACATCCGGGGGATATTCAGCAATGTCTGGAGACGTTTTTGGTTGTCATATCTGGGGGATAGAGGGTGGGGATCCTGGCATAGAGTGAGTGTAGGAGCCAGGGATGTTGCTGAGCACCCTGCAGTGCCCAAGACTGCCTTCCACAGCAGAGAATCCACCCCCAAACCTCAGTGCTGATGTTGAGAAGCTTTGCCTCAGGGGATGGAGTTTTACCTATAGTAAGTATAAAATTTGTCTGATCATCCAGTACCTTGTTTTTATTATAAAAATATCAGACATATCACTCAGAACTAATAAATGCTAACTATTTTTTTTTTGAGGAAAGGAAACATTACAGTTGGACTTAATAAGGATGGTTTCAAAGCCTCATTCCCTCACTGCTTCCCCAGAGGCAACCACCTTCCTTCAGGTGGGCTGTTTCCTTCTGCTGTGCATTTTGACTTTGATACACATGTGAGTGTCCATGAAACAGTATATTGTACTGCATGAGCCCTTTGTCATGGTGTTCTCTATTTCTGTGTTGCAGGCTGTTTTTCCAGAAGTTTGAGTAAAGGCATGAGCAGAGGATACTACTGTCTCTAAATGAAAATGTTTCCATTTTCTAATTAATTTATATTTCCTTTAGGTGGTGGTCAAAATTTTTAAGGAAAGATGTTTAACGTTTTAAATCAGGTTGAGGAAAAAAAACCAAAAGTAATGGTTTGCAAATTTTAAAAGGTGGTATTTTTTCAAATGCAGAATCTACTTTCTATAGTGACCCAGACTTGAGCAAATAAGTAAGTTTGTCTTTACATTTGCTAGAGGTGATGATGGTGCTAAGCCCCCCGGTGCCCCACCTGCCTGCACCCTCCTTTCTCCCTGTGTGGCATCTATCAGCCTCTGCTCCCAGCATCCTTGGAAGACATTTCCTCCATCTCTGCATCATATTTCAGAGCTGGCCGGTTTCTGTGGTAACGGTTAGATTGAAAGATGAGCAGCAAGCAGGAGGCAAGGCTTGAGTGAGACGGCCGGTGGTGGTGTGTGTCCCTGACGTCACCCTCTGGGCGTCTGGATAGGACAATTCTGGCTACTCCCATTCAGGGCTGCTGTCCAGTGCCGCTTTATTAGCAGGGCTGCCAGGGGCTCCAATAGCTCTGCAAATTGCTTTCCTTTCTGCTCCTTGTGCTCTGCCTCCTATCCCCCAATAGAATTTTTCTTTTTCACTGCCCCTTTTCTGTTTTTGGCTCCAGATTGTCATTAAGAATGCACATCCTAATTCTGGTATGTTTTGGGATGCTCTTCTGCCCAGTGTTCTGGAAGGGCAGGGAGGCATGGCAGTGTTTTACTTGACGTTGATGGCGCTGTGAAGTCTGTTCTTTCCTCTGCAAGAATTCTGACTATGCAGAAATTTATCGAAGCGGATTATTATGAACTAGACTGGTATTATGAAGAGTGCTCGGACGGTAATTATGGCCCTTGAAAAATAGAGCGGGGTTGTGTAGGGGCATTGTCTCTCTCTGGGGGAGGTCCTGAAACCTTCTGGGGAGATGGGCAGAAGGGGAGGGGGTCACCGGAACTAGCACTGCCGGCAGACATGCTTGGCTCTGAAATTTTCCATGGCATGGTGGAGGAGATGGCAGGTGGGCAGGGCTCTTTACAGTGGGAGACTCCTTCATGGTGTGTATGGTCGTTTGCTTAGAAGGGGGAGATGGTTTCTGATGTGCTGGGCTTGCAAGTGTGGTGCTTCTGTTGCATTGAATTCTCTCTGGTGTGAGACGTGAGTGTGTTGTTGATGCATGTGTGCGCAAGTGGAAATGTGTTCACTGGGCTCTGTGCTGTGGAAGAGATTAGGAAACTAGAGGCTGGAATAGTATGCTGAGGAGGTGGCTTCTTGAACTGTCAGCAGCAGGCCTGGAAGAATCTGCCCTTTGCTGAGCCCACACCTGGGGACTTAGGGGAAGGCTGGCGAAAGGCAGAAGCAGCTTCCCACCTAGCTGGTGATTCAAATGAATTTTGCTTGTTGGAGCCAAGATCGGGGTGGGGAGGTATTGGGAGGGTCAGGGAGAGAGTGTATCTTCTGTCACTATCTTGGTTTATGCAGGGAGGGTGTGGCACATTCCAGAGGAGACTGGGTGGAGGCCGAGTTGTATGGCTGGACAGGTCTCAGGAGGTTTCTAGCATGTGGGAAATAGCACTGAAGTGCATTCTCAGAGAGATCACAGGGGAAGGGGTCTCAGGCTCCTGCGGTGTTGGGCATCAAAATTGTGTATTACACATTAATCTGCTTTCTTTAATTTCTTCTTGAAAATGACCCTTAAATCACATGGCTTTACCATAAAAAGGATGCAATTAATATATGTACTTTGAGGGTCTGTTCTCCAGTGATGATATGTTCCCAGTCCCACAGAGCCATTAATAAGTAAGGTAACTGCTTTTTTAATTGAACTGGGAGATTCAGATTGCTCTAACTGTGACTAGATTTGATTAACCTGAATGATGTAACAGGATGGGAGCTGGCCTAGTTAGTAAGCTGAAGAACTGCACAATTATCTCTTGTCTGCTGATCTTTGCCTTGACTATGAGCTACAGGAGAGGAGTCAAGAGGCTTTCTCAGGGGGTGGTATTTAAATGTGCTAAGGAACTTATGCAATTGAGCACCACTGTCCCCAGCATTAGATGAAGACACTGTCATGTTGGGTCCTTGTGGGTCCTTAAATATCTTGAGTAATGAGGCTGGTGGTCAGCTCCCAGGGTCTTGAGGGGAAAGGATGAATGAATTCTTTTTTCTTTAGGATATATTCATTCTTAAGTTCTCTTCTATTACCTAAGTCCAAGAAGCAATTATAAGTATGCTTCTTTTTGTAAATCATCATTGACCTCTTCTAGTTTCCTTAGTGATTTGTGACTGAACTCTCCGTAACTTTTTAAAGTGAGTGATTAAATACATGCTCAGTGTACCATTGGATTAAGGAGCATTGATTGCAGCAGAGCGCCTGTCACAAGGCCTGTGGATGAATTGGGTGTGGCCATGGCTCTGGTGGATGCCTTCCTAGAAGTGGGGGAGGAAGATTTCTTAATGTCTTGACCCAGTTGCTACACTATCCAGTTCTGTTTACACTCTGAAATAAAGCCAGTCACTGGTGGAGGCCGAGTTGTATGGCTGGACAGGTCTCAGGAGGTTTCTAGCATGTGGGAAATAGCACTGAAGTGCATTCTCAGAGAGATCACAGGGGAAGGGGTCTCAGGCTCCTGCGGTGTTGGGCATCAAAATTGTGTATTACACATTAATCTGCTTTCTTTAATTTCTTCTTGAAAATGACCCTTAAATCACATGGCTTTACCATAAAAAGGATGCAATTAATATATGTACTTTGAGGGTCTGTTCTCCAGTGATGATATGTTCCCAGTCCCACAGAGCCATTAATAAGTAAGGTAACTGCTTTTTTAATTGAACTGGGAGATTCAGATTGCTCTAACTGTGACTAGATTTGATTAACCTGAATGATGTAACAGGCTGGGAGCTGGCCTAGTTAGTAAGCTGAAGAACTGCACAATTATCTCTTGTCTGCTGATCTTTGCCTTGACTATGAGCTACAGGAGAGGAGTCAAGAGGCTTTCTCAGGGGGTGGTATTTAAATGTGCTAAGGAACTTATGCAATTGAGCACCACTGTCCCCAGCATTAGATGAAGACACTGTCATGTTGGGTCCTTGTGGGTCCTTAAATATCTTGAGTAATGAGGCTGGTGGTCAGCTCCCAGGGTCTTGAGGGGAAAGGATGAATGAATTCTTTTTTCTTTAGGATATATTCATTCTTAAGTTCTCTTCTATTACCTAAGTCCAAGAAGCAATTATAAGTATGCTTCTTTTTGTAAATCATCATTGACCTCTTCTAGTTTCCTTAGTGATTTGTGACTGAACTCTCCGTAACTTTTTAAAGTGAGTGATTAAATACATGCTCAGTGTACCATTGGATTAAGGAGCATTGATTGCAGCAGAGCGCCTGTCACAAGGCCTGTGGATGAATTGGGTGTGGCCATGGCTCTGGTGGATGCCTTCCTAGAAGTGGGGGAGGAAGATTTCTTAATGTCTTGACCCAGTTGCTACACTATCCAGTTCTGTTTACACTCTGAAATAAAGCCAGTCACTTGCCATGGTCAATCTGGAGGTTGAAAGGAGGCCTGCTCTTATCTGGGTGTCCATCTGAAAGATTTTCTTACCCAGCAGTTCCTCAGTTGAGTCTTTTGGCCCGGAGACACCCTGATCTCTCCTCTTCCAAGAGCAAAGGAAAATAGAAGAGAAGATGGCTCATCCATCCAAGGGTAAATAAATATTGATTGCTGCTATTGTCTGAATGTGTGTTGAGCATAACTGCCCTTTAACCTTTTCCCGTTTTGGAGAAGGTTGATGGGACAGAATTTCCTAGGACAACTGGCATTTTCATAGTCCCATTTAAAGATGGTAGCAAAACAGTGAATAAAAGGAACTGAAGCCCAGAAATGATCTGGTTTAGGAAACCTACAGGAGGGAATTTTAAGTATATACTAATTTTCTGGTTACTTGTTTACACATTTCTAACTAGTTGGGTTCTTTCCTGGCTTCAGGCAGGTTAGTCTGGAAATGAAATTTGTTCCTGTTTATATTTAGCTTTTAAATCGCAAATCAGTAGAACACACAGCATTGCTTTGTCTCTCTTATCATTTGGCATTTTGAATCCTTGAGAGAAACTTCTAGGGAACTTTTGATACTAGTAACAAAAGGTGAGTCAAATGTTTTGAAAAAGATGCAAAATCATCATTTGTGTGAGAGTTACTGACTCACACTTAAATTGCAGCGTTAGCACTGAAAAAGTAATGTCTGTGGATGGGAATATAGATTGCAGGCCAATCAGGGCCCTCTCTTTAAAAGTCAGAATTAAGAGATGGCTGCTGTCCCTTTCATGTTTGAGGTTAGGAGAGCTTTATTCAGTGTTGAATCACTGTATTCTCCCCCATATCAATTTTAGTTGTGATGGTCTTACACATATCTCTGTCCACCCCTTCCCCCCCGACCCATACCGCCATACAGTAAGATCCAGAGGACATAACAAGAAGCATGGGAGAGGGGCTTATAATAAGAAGAAATTGAAGGAGTTTATTGCCCATTACTTTACAGTAATTTATAGAGATTTGAAATAGCCAGCAATCAAGCTAATCTAGGAGTAGCCATCACAGAATTTGCACATATGTACTCGGTGTTTACAGTTTAAACTCTGGTGTTAAACAGGGTCATAGTTACCTAGATAGGATGTGTCCCATCTCTAGTGCAAAACCTCTAAAACCTGGCAATCGTTGAAAATCACCCACTTATTAAAAAAGCAGATTCTCAGGCTTACTTCCGACCAGGAGAGGCCCTCAGAAACCTAAGTTTTTAGCACATGCTTTGGGGGGTTGTTTATTTTAGGTGTGTTTGGGAAACTGCGCCAATGTCAGTGGAGAGCACCCCAAGCAGGGGGGTCTGGAAAGTAATTCTTTAGGTCAGTCTCAGAACCTTATGTAAAAAAAAAAAAAAAAAAAAAAAAAAAAAAAAGCATGTGAGGCCTTTTTAATTTTCAAAAAGGCTTGAGTTCGAGTGTATGTCTGTAAGTTAAAGAAATAGAATGCCTTTTGGGAATGATTCTAGAAACAGGTAGAACGGCACAAAGAGCACAGGCCTCTGGGGTCTGCATTTGAGTCCCGTTTTGCGCTTTGTGTGGCCACGTGTTTGGGCACATGCTGGGATCTCTGTGAACCCAGATTCCCCATCTGGAAAATGGGAATAACCACACTCACTGGAGCCTTTGTGAAGAGTGTGAACAAAGTAAAAGCCCTTTGTAAACGATGAAGAGCCAGGCCAGTGCTTACTTTTGTTTCCTTATAACTAGTACTAGTTATGAAGTGCTTTTAAAAAAAATCCCTTTGGAAAGATGAATGGTGTTTTGAACAAGGTGTGGTTGTTTTGACCACCTGTTTTTTGGCAGCAGTTTCTTTTGTTATCAGACTTGTTCTGCATCACCCTCGCCTTCCCACTTTGCAGTATCGTAGATTTGAATGTCAGGGCAGGAGGTGGTCTGGTTCATACTGACTTTATAAATGACGGAACTCAGATAGATGGTCACAGAGGTTGTTCTTGTGGCTTGTTAACTCCATAATGAAAATCCATGGCAATATGCAAGCAGTCATGTGGGCTGTGTTTTTCACTTGATTTCAGTGATCTCTAAAATGTCACCCCAAGATGGGATGGCTGGTTCATGAGTGAAGTTTTGTTAGAGGTATTTTAAGCATTAATTGGAAACGTAGGTTCATTAGATGATTTTTCTAATTTTCTTATACTGTTTCCCTAAGTGTCAATGCAAACAGACCCTGTTTCTTTGTCTTGTGTTTGTGTGATGCACCCTTGAAGGCAGAGGTTGACTTCTCTCTTTCCAGACACAGCACTCTCATGAAT